CTAGTTAGCCCTGTCGATCAGCTTTCAGTTCACAATTTATTATTTGTTAAGTAGGTATTAGTAAACTTAGAGCCTCGTCTGTGAAATTTCCCACTCTATACTAAAAAAAATAATAACAGATTTAGAGCTATACTTTTTAATATATACTGTGTAAGGCATACTAGATAAGTACAGTAATAAACTAAAAAAACTGTGGAAGCCATAACATTCAAAAATCGTACGAGACTGAAGAAGGATTTTCAAAAACTAAACTCCAAGGGTGGTACTTTGGCAATTGCTGCCCAGGCCGATATTGTGTGTTATATATTTTTGTATATGACCAATTGCAGTATTAACAAATTAAAATTAATATACTTGGGTAGGTAGGAATAATAGCCCGAGTAGGTGTATACGTTTTTAAATGTAAGATAATAATATGTTTTGCAAAAATTATCGAAGTTAAGACCTTATAAAATACAAATTATAAAACCACTCTACGAATTAGAGCTTTATTATTTGTTAATGTTTTCTTATGTTTTATATATTTTGAATTTGCTGGAGGACTTATAATCCTCATAAGTCATAACTAGGTAACTGGGCCGGTTATGCAAGTTTTCCAGCACCGATTTATAGTTCCAGTCCGCAGCATACACGACCGTCACTTAAATCTAAGGTTCTTGTTGATGTCAACATTTTTTCTCTTTTCATGGGGTTATTAATTTTTTATGCTTCCGTATCAACACAGTACAGATGACAAGTTTCCAATAAAGTCCCAATAAACTTTGTGCGGTGGTTGGGTAGGTTGAAATGAGCTGATCGGTCGTAAATAATAATACTTAGATGGTACTTACTTATAAAACCGATGTGTTCTCTGGACTACAAGTATAGCAGGTATTTATCAATTGCTTATCAATCTATGCTTTCAAATAATTATTATAGTATAGATACCTACTTTAAATGCTATGTTTCTGTTATCAATTTTATGTTGGTTGTCCGTCAATTATAATATTGTCAGGCTTCAGGCTACATCTTAACATTGTTTTAATTGAAAAAATATTAAGGGGGCTGCACCGTAGCATATTTTAAGGAGTACTATTTAGGCAATTCATGTGACATATAAATTAATACTGTATCTATGTGTGAGTAGTAATGAACATTAGTGTGCGTAATCCGTTATCGCGTTGATCGCGCGAATTCTGCTTATTCGGCGGGCGCATGAGCGGGTGTCTTTCCAGTTAGCAGTCTTTGTTATCTTTCATATACGAGTATTCATAACAAAATAATATTGTAAATAATAATAATATTATGTTGTTTGAGGTTTGTCTGTGTCTAACTGTTTTTTAAAAAATGTATTACTAAATTAAATTTAAATCGGACATTCCGAAGTATGTGTAATTTACCACCGCTTATTGGTCTAAAACGTATGAAAAATACGTGAGCTGCAGCCCCCTTAACATTTTTTTTTAAAATTAAGACTCGATATCTTATATTCGTATTTGAAACATTGAGGTAAATCGGCTCTTATATTTTATTTTTGGCAGGCCAAAGAAGGCGTTTTAAAAAAAGTTTGTGCAAATGCATAACCTGAACCCCCTCCAGCCAAAAGACTACCCTATGGATCTACAAATTAAAAACATTTAAAACCTGCAGAAATTGCATTGATTCGAGACTCGAGTAGTATGGATTGGGTGAAATGTATGGTAGCCGGTAGGTAAATCAAATTAACTAGTAAATAGATAAGAAAACAATCGACATACCTACACTCAACATTTTAAATCATACATAAAACTAATTGTAGTTGATTCACGCCATCATCGTATACAGTCAAAAATGTGCATAAGGTGGTGGTAAATACTTACTGAGTTTCATATTTTATACTTAACAGAATGATCCCCAGCTGCTCCGGTTGACAGGTATAGGCACTCCGTTCTTCGGTAGCCGGTGTACGAAAATGAACAGAAACTGACTAATGTAATTAACTAACTATATTATGTAATGAGTAATTACTAAAAACTTTAATTCTAATGTATATTAATATTAATTATAATATACATATATGTGTATATATATATATAATACCTATATTTTATAGGCTATAAATAACTATATGAGTAGGCGCCTACACGGGTTACTACATATAACCTATGATAAATATTTTGAACAATTTACGTTTAATAGCTAGTTCTTTCTGTTATACTTTGACACCTGGTATATTATATACCAGGGATGCCAAACCTTTTGAACGAACACTGCGTGCCCAAAATTAGTAATAACCTTTTTTTTTTAGAGCGTGCCATGAAAAAAATATAATTAAATTATATTATATTTTGTTATACTATAATTTGATTGTATAATTAATGTATAAGTATAAAAAGGTTAGTTTAGGTTATTATAAGTCCTATAATATTTTCGCGGAAGTAATGCGAAAGCAGTCCCCGCGGCGCCGTCAGTTCAAACTCGAAAAAAAAATCCCTGTTACATACTATATAGCAGTCTAGTGCAGATTGTAGTTTTAAAAATGTCAATCGTACCCACAGATATATAAAATTATATATCTGTGATCGTACCTACCTATATCCAGGGGTGACAAAACCGTGAAACGAGCGTCATAAGACTCATGCGGCCCGCGTTTTTAACATTTTTTCTAATATATTAATAAGTATTATTCCTCTTCCTCGTAGACATTATACTCCTACACAAGATGAGTGTATAAAAAGCGTAACAACATATAGAGGGCACTTTTTGTTTACTATAGTTTCTTAATAATTGTTATTCGGTTATTGGCACATTTATTGTTTCATTTCAGTATTGTAGCAATAAAATAATAAACGATTAATATTGAATTAATTTCCATTCTTTATATTATTTTTCCCGCTATTTTAAAATTAGGTACCTATTGAAGAAATTGATAAAAATAATGATTTAAAAAGTCAAAGGACAATGATTTTATAGCCTATAGGTGATAACCCCCCAGTACAAAATATCCTATTTAAACATTTTCTGGGAATGTCAATGTTTTACGCAACGTCTTATATTCAATTGGGGCACACTATACATTTCCACTGTAACAAGAATACGGTAGGTACCCAATTGGAGCATACAATTTTATTTTATTTAAATAATAATTCTAATGCCGGGTTGCATATGATGTTGATTTGTCTAATAATTCACTAAAAATGAAACAATCAATCATGGGTCCCTAAATAATGTTTAAAAGATCATTAGCTCACTATCGGTTTATTAAATTATATGCTTATGCTTCAATAGGTCCTATAGTATTCTATGTTAGTAAGTAGTACCTAATATAGTTGTCTTACTATAAGTTTTGTGTGGGAAAAACAGATGGCTTCAACCTACAGATTGCAGGTAAGAAATCAAATTTTAACCATACAATTAAATGAATTAGGTAAGAGACATTTTACTTTGCAATGTCGTTTTTATTTTATTTTTGATATCAAGTTGGTGAAAAAATGTATATAAGTTTGAAAAACTAAAATATAACGGATTGTACATCAATAATTATACGTTTATTACTGAACATTTTATTGGCAGTTTCTAAAGTATTTTATAGGTGTCCTTATAATGTACTTCCTGTAGTTGATCATTGCATTATTAGTTTTTATTAAGTTATATAAATAATTCATTAAAATATGTTGGTACAAATCGGCTATTACCTTAGTGTAGTGCAATAATTTTACCATTTTAGAGCTAAAACACTACTAAATTATAAAATCATATAATATTTTGGAAAAGTCTGCTTTTAAATTTTCTAATTTACTGTACACAATTTGTTCTCAATAAAATCATGGTAAGCTTAAATGTTATTAATAATATAATTAACAAAGACAAGATTCATTAAAAACTATATTTATTTGCATCAGTTAACGTGCTATTTTTCACAAGCTACATGTATTCCTAATGTGCATGTATTTTGAAGTGAAATTTAAAATTTAAAATTATAATCATCATTTGGAATTTTAACAGTTTACAAAGTGTAACTGCTTAATATATAATTAAATTATGCATAAAAAATTAGAAATATTCTAGACAGTAATATGCTTTTCAAATTATTAAAATATAGAAAAGAACATATTGCAAGTATTTTTAATAAATGCCTGGTACTTAAAACAAATAGTATGTACTACTCAGAATAAATTTATACTGATTTTATTTTAAAAATAAAATGTTAATTTTGTTTTTCAAGATTTATTTTATGCCAAATAATAAGTTTTATAGTATACAATTTTATAAAATCATATATCAAACACAATAACACAAACTTTTAATAGAGATTACAGCACTACAGCTTTAATAACATGTCTATACAAACAACAGACAAATTTACATTATTTTTAAAATTAATGAAGCTTAAATTGTATCATGTTGTGGTATAATATTTATGTAAAATGTATTAATATTTTATAAAAACTACCTAACCAGAATCAAAATAAAACTTAAATAGTTAAAATAATATTTAAAAAGAACCAATTTAATTTTAATGCGACAATAAAAAAATATTATTTCCAAGAAATGGACCTCTTGAATTCCTGATCATACATGCTAAGTGCCAAAAATCATTTTTACCAAATAATAATAATTTGTTATAGCACAGAATATCCAAACTTGGTGTTGTACAAACTGTATATTTATATATATACATAAGCAAATTCTGTAGTTAGCCATGAATAAAAAAGAAAAATGGATAATATACCTATATGTTTAAAATAAAATATTACAAAATTGTTTGAAATATTATAAAAAAAAAAAACAAATGCAGTGCCTTTTTAGATTACCATTTAATCTTAATCTTTGCATAAATATACATTTTTGTTTTTAAAACAGGTCACAGGTTACACCTTCAAAATAATATTATAACCTACATTAGATGATAAATAATTAATATGTTTTATAAAAATAGCAAGAGAATATCAATTTTGTTTTTAGTAATGAACAAACTTTTTTTTATAGAAAAAAGGTCTTTTGGTTCTTTAAAAGTACTAAAATTATAAAAATGAGGTAAAGCAAAAAACAAAATAAATCATTCATTAAAAATAAGGATTTCAATAAATATTTAAGACTTTAAAAGCATACACATTATACATTTTTTAGATTACTTTACATAAGTCTTATCATTAATATAAGGCACATAACTTAAACTTTAAGGCTATCATTAATAATAATATAGACAGTCTCTGTGTATTACTTATAAAATAGTTATATAACATGTTATATAATGAAAATTTATTGTTTTAAAATATCAAATAAGTTCTATAGAACCAATCAAGTATCAAGATAAATTAGGTTTATATTAAAAGTTAGACACTATGATTTCCAAAAATTTGGATTTAAATTTAACTTTCTTTCAAAGTTTTCGTACCATTTCTGAATTAATAAAAGTGGTACCATAGGTGTTTGCTGTGGGCCAGCATCAACTGCATAACTAGATACGTAATTGTATAAATTTTGAACCATTTTTTGTGTGAACTCAACAAACGTTGATAAATTTTGCGTTGATTCTATACAGGTTGTTTGCAATTCAGCGTTTATGAGAGGTTCAATAGATATACCAATTTGAGCATTTATAGAAATTGATGGAAATTGACTGAATGCATTTATTGGTTGGTTTGTTACATCAAAATGCTGTTTAAGATTTGAAAGCTTAAATATGGCAGAAGGCTTGTTATTGGACAGGATACCCAAAAGTTGCCAATTTGGTTTTGCATTTTCATCAGGCCAACTGAAATACACTAAAATAAAACATACTTAAATAAATACACATTTTTCAAGTGTTATAATAATATAGCTAATAATAAAACGTCTGTAAATATAATAAGACTTATATCATTGATTAAATATACATAGATAGCCCACGTCAATGGGCATAATGGAAACTAGTTAATTAATAGCGCAATATCTCAATAGAGAGCGTGTAGTGTCACAATTGTAAATTAAATACTAGAAATAGACGATAATCGTAGCCAGTTGAGAGTCCACTGTTCATTTTTAGATATTTAAGATAAGAAATAATCTAAAATGGTATAGTATTTAAATATATTTTTTTTTCTATAATATGATGTTTCATGCAATTAATTTGTCATCAGTCCTAGAAACCTAAAATTTGGGGTTTGAACATTGTTTTAATTAAATGTATTGCTTTAAGAGGAAGTCGCACCCGCATATTATGTTGTCTACCTGTCTTCGTCTCACACACTTACGGCATACCAAATTTTACGCTCTGCAGATCACGTTTAGCTCCGTTAATTTAAAATTTAGAGTAAATTTACCTCTTATAAAATTGAAAGGTAAGAAAATCCTTTAGGGCATCTCATCGGCTTTTTGTTATATTTTAATTTTAAAGCGAGTTATGAGTATTTAAAGGTGTATAAAAAAAAAAAATTAAAATACTCACTTCAAAATTAAAATATAAAAAAAAGCCGACGAGTTGCCCTAGAGGATTTTCTTACCTTTCAAATTTATAAGAGGTAAATTTACTAAATTTTAAACTAACGGAGCTAGACGTGATCTGCTGAGCGTAAATTTGGTATGCCGTACGAGTGTAAGACGAAGACAAGCGGACAACATAATATGCGGGTGTGACTTCTTGTTAATAAGTAATCATCGTATTTTTATAATTTTAATTTGAAGAAAATAAAGTTAATTATATATTTATATTAGTTGACCCCGTGCTCTTCATTGCCCTTAAAAAATGACAATCCTTTAGAAAATTGTGATTGTTCAAATTCTTTTAGATGTAACTCGCAGCAATAAGTACAATTTAGCCAGGTTGGTAAGAATATGTATTTTTATTAATTACAACATATTAAAATTAGAAGTCAATTTAAAAAAGTCATTTAAATTCTTTGTCTTTCAACATTTTTATTAAAATTTTTTTTATACATCTTGTACATTCAATAACAATTCCAATATGGCAATATTACATGATAAAAAAAAAAACTTAAGTGATGAATATGAGCTTATATATTATGGGCAAAGTATATACAAATAATACTAGAAGTCTAAACCAGGAATAAATTATGATACAGAACTTAATTTTATTTAATATACTCTTTTAAATATTATTAAGAATTTTCAACTTTTTTTTTGATTTTTCACTTCTAATATGTTTCAAATTTTTTGAACACCAATTAAAATTTTTAGATGTGGAATACAATTTTCTTCAATAATTAGTGAATACATTAAATATTTAATCAATGCTTATATTGTCTTATAATATAAAATCTAAATTAATTGTTGTAAATTCATATAAAATATACCTAATGCTGTAACTAATTTATACATACAAGTATGGTGCAGATTTAATAGGAAATGATTTTTTTTCAATGATACATAGTATGTATTTCATAAGAATACTATTAAAATGTGATTAGCTTATTTTTTTTTTTTTAAATAATAATAATTATTATTATTATTAGGCTAGGTTACATTTTTCAGGGGTTTCAGGAGAGTTAAAAAACATTTTGTTGTGACTTAAAATTTTTTTAGTCTAGTAGTTTTATTTGATTTTATGTCCTAAATATAAATATATATCGAACAGCTTTTGATTATTATTTACACGCATATGGAAATTTGAATACATAGATTTTTTATATAATTTTGGTGCTTATTCCTTAATTTTATTTTAGATAACTTGTCTAATGTACTTATTCTTTATTATATTAAGGTATTATTATTATTAATGATTTATCTATATTATTACAGTACAATACCCGAGGTTCAAAAAAATAAAGTGTAGACAAATGTTTTCGGTAAAAAAATAATTGATAATCAATTTTGATAAACGTCACTTGACCCCTTAATATTTGTGATAATCTTGTTGATCCCCTATTGTTATAAATCTTCTTTTGAGTAAAAAATCTCACTCAACAAATTCACTGAACGAAAACAAGTTTATTTTTATTATTTTATGCTATATTGCTATGGTTATGGATTCCAATTATCAGTGGTCGAAGTGGTTCAAAATAAGTGGAGGGATGTCATCCCACTTTGACAACTGCCAATAATATAGATCCTGACCAAGTTTAAGCAATTGAAAAGGTAAATGTAAATTGGTTCACAGAGACTATAGCTATTAAGTGTTAGATGTTTTAAATATTCAAATTGCATAATTTGTTCGACACTATGCTGTAAATCTATTGCTGTACTTAATTATGAAATTATAAGTTTTAAATTAATACTATTTATAAGTAATAACTTATTCTTACCTGAACCAGCTGTTCCCTCAGGAAATGGCACAAGACCAGTCAAAAACACACAAATGTAATTCACGGATTCGGCAGAGTTGATAGTTATCATAAATTTTGTTTCTTCTAAACGTTCAAAATCTGTCCGTACCTAAATAATAAACATTATTAATGTCATAATGAAAATATGTTATGTTTGTACTTTATGGGACACCTATTTTTTTTACAATTTTTTTACTACACGGGAAAAGATGTTGAAGTCAGAATTTGGGGCACAGACATAGTTCCAAAGTTTTGGCACTTGAAAGTTAGGATACAATACGTTAAATAACTTAAAAATGTCACAATTCCAGTGGTGTCATTGACCTATTTGAGGTGGTCTTACACAAGTCTAGGGATATTTTCAATATTAATATCCAAGCGAGCATAGCGAGCAAGTGACCACGCTTGAATAAATGTGCTTTTTATTATAAGCAAAACAAAAGAATAATCCTCAGAAAAAAGGGAGCAAGGGAAAGCAATGTGTTATAACACATAATTTTAAAAAAATGTTTGAAAAATTGACTAGGAAGCTAAATAGAATTGCTGAAATTATCATTTACCAAAAAAAAAAAAAAAAAATGCAGACGAACGTGTCAAGATACAATTAATCAGCTTGATATTGTAGCATAATGGGGATTTATGGGCTATAATATAAAGTGAAAACTTTGATTAGCTATAACTTCAAAACTAACTTAGTGCCCCAAATTTCGATTTCACCAACATTTTTTTCACCTATAGAATGTCTTAGTCCCCCGTAAAAGCCAAAAAAAGGTGTCCTGTAATGTGCAAATGTTCCAAAAATATGAAGTGAATAAAAAAACTCAAAACTTATTATGATAATATCTATTTAAGTTTTTGGGTGACAATTTTATATGATGGTGCAGCCAGGCAAATTGTATACAACTCGTAAGGGTACACAGTCACCTACTACTCACCAGTCTACCGCTGACCAACAATCCAAACATTGCCGGCACCGAGTCCACCATGGCAACAAATCTCGAGTGGACGTAATAAATCGAACAGTTAAGTATCCAAATATGTAGTGAGCTGATCGGACTTGGCCGAAATTCGCGTCGGTCAGGTTGGATGATCGCAAATCCAATTCACACGTGATTAATAAAAATCGACCACGAGGGAACGAGCTGGTTTTAAGCGTCACTGCGTCTTAAACTTATGTCAAACACAGGCAGGGATATTGGATTCGATTCAAACGGCGGCTAAGAAAATATTGTGCAGCGAACATTCTAGATGTTTGAGAAGAGTAGAAGACTAGAACGTGCCGTGTGCGCGACTTCCCGTACATTAGCCACTTATCACTTATGATAAGGTAGAGGACGAAATACTGCATATTCTATTGCCTATTCATATTTTAAAAGGAATTTTAATAAACATATTCATTTTTCAAATATAATTCAGAATTAAATTAAATAAATATATATATATAAATAATACGTATAAACATAAACATACTTTATACACGTTATTTTTTATTTTCAGATTAAATTATGTCGAGCTTATAATATTTATTTGTGAAAATTATCGGGCCGATACTATGAAGTATAAACTATTATATTATTTTTGGAGGATCATAATAACTAAAGAGAATCGATTCCTCGTGGTAATGCAAGTAAAGGATCTCAAAAATATTATAAGGTAATAATTAATTGAGTATGAAAAGATCTCGAGTATTATTTTTATCCGGTCCGAGTTTACAATTACCATAATATACAGATTCAAGATGGATAAATAACAATTATTATTATAATTTTTGAGATTATATTAAAACAATGTCTTATGTTATTAACTCAATGCTCCACTTAGCAGACAATAATTACCTAACATAACTCCAATTAAATGGCATTATATTTCATTCAAGATTATAATAAACCTTTTGACTCCAAACATAATATAGCTATAATTATGCTAAGAACATTCCTAGCTTTTTTAATTTAATATTTTATATAGATTTTGATTATGATAAGCTTTGAATAATTATGAATGAATTTGATAATTTGACCCATATAATTGATGTTTAATATAATACATGAAAATATTAAACAGAAAAAAAATGGATAACCGCTTTGCTGTAGAGTAAGAGTCAAGTGTACCTCGTCATTACGTAGGTTACTGTAATCGATGAGTTAATTTGAGTTGAATGATAAATCATTGTATGCGAAAAATGATTCTAAGGAGACAGACTGTCATCAGCCTATTATAAGTTATAACATCACTAGAGTAATATTTGAGTCTATAAGCTACAAACTATGGACGTATATAAGACCGTACTACAAACATACTAATTCAAAATGAGGTTCCTCATAAGTAGTTCATTAACTCCTAATGTTGTTAATCAAAATATCTAAAAATATATACAAACACAGTTGTATGAAAACTCGGCTTTTCCGGAAATTTATCGTTCAAATATTCTCCAATTTTCACATATTTCCGACCTAGGTAGGTATTATACATTTATACTATAATTTGTAGTCATACAATTATATCTAAATAAATATCATAGGTATAGCCATTTCGTACTCATTAAGATAATATCCGTAATTCTGGATAGAACCATATAAACACCTGAAAAATAAATATTAAATGTTGAGCAGGTAAATTAGGTAGGGACCTACACCTATTTGAGTACGAAATGTAAGATCATGTTCCGTCTCACAATTTTCTATAGCATCGGATAATACCGGTATTCTTTCTGGTCATTACTCTCGACAACCGTAAGACGTTAATGTTGATCTGGAAAGAAGCAAATTTTTATGTTTAAACCGGTGATGAATCGACGACCGTTAGGCATTTTGGAGGTTTAAACGAAATGCCCCTGTGTTGGGGTGCCGGATTAGCTGGAGATGCGATGTACGAGTCCCCGATGCGTACCAACACAACTATTGCAAAGGTATATTATGTGTAGAGTTTATCTTTTCTCATACTTTCGTAATCAGCGTTCCGGGAAGAACGTAAGCAGAACGTTTCGATTGTCCGAATATAATATAATCCCGCGTTAGTAACGATACCCGTGATAATAAATTAATGGATAAATATTTTGGAACATGAGTTAACATTGTTACTTGAGTACTCAAAACATAAAATAATTGATTTAGTTGTTGTATATTTTACTCTTTAATACTTAAATCTATGGTATTTTTATGATTTTCGATTGTGTTTTGAACTTAACCGATGAGTTAGTTATATTTATCAGCAATGGTTGGATTTCCATCCTTATGACCAAATAACCGAATCTATACTTTAGCTGTAGGTTTATTATACCCTGGAAAGATGTCGATTGTCGAGTCGAGGTTATAGTCGTCATTGTGGCCTACTCAACAGGTAAATATATGATATGTATGTATGAATCGTCAATCGAAATCTTTCTAGAGTTCAGCAAGTGGTTCAAATATTAAATGAGGCATACTACATAAGTATTTTTGAGCTCTTCCCTCATTAGTTACTCAGTTAAAAATGTTGTTCTAATTATACCAATGTTAAACCTTAAAATAAAAACATGTAAAAGTATTTATAATGTTACCCTTTTGTTTTTTATAACTTCTGTGTTTCAGTTGGACAGTTATCAACCATTTTATGATTAAGCATTTTTATATTTTTCTCTATTTTTATTATAACATAATATTAACACCTTGACTGTCATGTGACTGACGGCACCCGCCACCCATTGTTGATCACTACTACCATGCCGCATGACCGCTGGCAACTGTAAATGAATACAGTTGTATAGTATAAACTTTTCCATGGCTCTTCATTAATGTACTTCAAAGAGCGCAGTGGCATAGTGGGTATAATTACAATTTTTCCTGATGTAGTAAACATTATTTTTTATATTTTTTAATGTTTTTTTCAAATACAATAGTATAAACAAAACTTGGAATGACATAGAAAAATATGCTTAGTGTCAATAATGCATATCATGTGACCCTAGTCACATGGCAGTTAACATGTTAGAAATTTAAGTTGTTTATTTACCTCATTTATTTAAAATAATTTTTTGTGTGTGTACTTAAATTATTTATTAATTTTTTAGGAAATTAAAAATGAATACTAACATACTCTCAGGTATGGAATTAACTTTCTTATAAATAATCAATGAATTATAAACAAAGTTACTTTTTTTTAGAACTCTGTGAGATTATTCACGGTTTAGGAGAAAGAATGCCACGCAAAGATACAGTTGAGATAATTCAGTCAGTATTAATAAAACAAATGATTTTGTTGATTTATCAAATTCGAAAAGCTGCAATATTACTTAATCACCAGAATATATCAATTAAACATGTACTATATGTTTTGAAAAATCATAAGGTCACTCTTATTCGAATTCTATCATACTATCGTAAGAAATAAAAAGTATAATTATATATTTATATATATATATGTATATATCAAAACAAAATATAAACTGATAAATCAAAGTGTTACATCTAAACTATTTATAATGTACTGCTTATTTACTAATTTATATTATATTATTTTTATAGTGTTAAATGATAGTATCCACCGAATCACCAGTTTAAGTGATACTGATTTAAGTAAGGAAAAAAAGGAAAAACATAAACCAGAGTTGATTGATAAAAATATTATTGAACATTTTACAAATTTAGAAAATGAATCTATAAAAACAGGTATTATTTAATTTATATTTCACAGAATAGCTTTATAAACAAATAAATAAACAACATGCAATGCAATTTACAGAACGTAATAAATTATTAGTACATTTATATTTTTTGTGTTAATTAAAATTTAAAACATAAATAGTATTTTATTTATTCTATTTGAATCTTACAAAAATAATAAATAGAATGGTAATTTTAATCATCTGATGAATGATAAAATATTTTTTAGATCCTGCTACTTCTTTGGCTACAATCGATTTTACAACAAAAGACTTATCACCTGACAACACCAATGTTAAAAGTATTTTTAAGATACTTAGAAATGAAATTGTGGATTTGAAATTAAAAATAAATATTACTGAAGAAGAAGTAAGAAAATCTAATGAAACACGCCTGCTTAGAGCTAATGATATATCAATTATACTAACAGCTAAGTATGACAATTGCTTGTTACTTTTTGATGTATGATAATTTTATTTATATATATTTATTGATTTTAGTGGATATGAAGGCTTTGAAACATGCAGAAGAAAAAATTTTCGTAAAAACAAAACGGGCGAACTCTTATTGTTACAAGTACATAAAGCTCTCCCATGGAATATTAAATACAATAATCAAGTTAAAGATGTTCTTTTGTTCTTAGCTAAAGTAAAGTTTCAATTACAAATACTGGTTATTACAATTAGCTTAAAAATTAAATTAAATTTAAATCACTAACAGGAAACGATTCATTGTCTTATTGATCGTGTGTTTGAAAATAGAAAGTGTACAGACATTTGTGATGAAAATAATTCAACCATAATGAAGGTAAAACTGATTTTGTATGATTATTAAAGTTATTTCTAATAAATTTTGTATTTAGAAAAAGAAATATGGATCTATACTTGTTAATGAAATAAGAGCCGTTATAACACCTACTTGGAAAACTCCTTTAGAAGAAATCCGTTACCCATATGATGAACATGATGTGTTTTTTAATAATCAATTGATATTTGAATTATAAACAGTATTAGTATAAGTAAATATAATTAAATATTGATGTGTATTCTATACTATATTTTGGAATATGAATTATTTAGTTGGTGAAAAATGATATTTTAAAAATAAATTTCCTTTTTATTAAAATTATTTTGAATTTATATCTGTAATAATTTTTTTATATTGATAATAATAATGTTCAATAATTATTTGTATACAACTTTTAATGAGGTATAATATTAAAAGCTAGTTGATTTTTTTTGTTATATAAATTTAATTATTCATAAAAATCAGTTTTTGATAATTTGTAAATTTTGCATAATAAGTCAAAACTGCATGAATATTATACTTATAGTAAAAATCTTAACCTCTAAGTCCAGGATAATATTATAGATTTGAGCATTGTTGAACACAAATATTATACTGGATTTTATTTTAATGAGCAACATTCCATTGTTTTTATATTGTTCAATGTATGCCCTGTTATGTGGTACATTAATACTTAAGTATTACAAAAAAAATATAATTTGAAAAGTTTGCTAATTTTCAATTTTTTTTTAAATTTCACCAATTTAATATTTTGATATTTCATAATACTTTCTACTTAAAAACTATTTTAAGAACAAACCTAAGATGTTGATGTGTTAAACAATTAAAGTATTGATAGTACTAATAATTTCCTCATTAGAAATTACTACACGTTTACAATTTAGTATGATAATATTTACCATTATTTATACGTATATAATACGGTTTATAAATAATACACTATATACTCTCAGTGATAGAAAAAAAAATAGGATATAAAATAGAACATACAATATCAGAAACGAAACGTAAATAAAGACAAAATGATAACAACTAGGAATAAAAATAAAATAAGAACAACATTTAACAATAATTATATTTATCATCTTATTTTGTACGTTATTAATATTAGTAACCCTAGTACATAAATTAAAGTTTGTCCAAATTTGTAAACAGCCGATCAGATATAATTGATTTTGCCTAATAAGGTGTTACGCAAATATTATTTTTTAATTCATTATTCATGGAGTTGAAGCAAGTAGGACCAAAATAATCTTTGACCAAACAACGTATTTGTGTAGGCTACAGGGGCATTATATGCTTTGTTTCTCCTCCTATTTTCTATTTTGTTTATATTGTACCAAGTGTTTATATTTTTTATTGCCCATAATATGGGTAAATTAATTTAAACGGCAATACGTTTAGCTCATTATAGTTGAGTACTGTTGACCTCACTAAATTTTGTTTAGTCAGACAAACTCTTATTATTTTATTTTGCTGCAACTGTAGTGGTTTGATTACATTTGTAGTTGCACCACCCCAAATTTTTATACTATATTGGAGAACTGCTTGATAAAATTAAATATATACTATTCTGATGAAGTGTTTTGGTAAAACTGAATGGAGTTTACAAAAATGATGTAATGATATACACAAGCGCTTTATTAAATAGTTGATATGCAGATCCCATCTCAGATGCTTATCAAAAGTTATACCTAAGTATCTGATACTTTGAACACTTTGAATTTAACTACACGTATTAGTATTGTTGAAAGGAAGAGATTAATAAAGTAATCCAAACAATGTTAAGTTAAATTAATAAAAAGATTTTTAATACATTAAATAATAAACCATATAATAATAATATAAAATGCACTCAAACACGTATATCAGCAACGGGTCGCATATCTCGACTAACATAAGAAACTATATTATAATAATACTATAACTAACATTTGTAACTGCCGCATGCATCAATATTGCAAATATGTCACCTCTGCATTTTTGCTTTCCTACTAAATATATAACTATATAGCGAATCTACAATGTGACAATACTACCTACATGTTGTATACAATCTACAGGGTGATAACTATACATTTTTATTTAATATTTCAACATGTATTAGTAGACATTATTTTCACAAAAGTGAATTGTTAAATCATTTGTAGGGATTCGCATGCTATTTACAGTGAATGTCATATAAAAAGTCTTACTCGTACTCAATGACAATCAATATATATCAAATAAAAATGTGTTGATAAAACACTTTAAGATAGGAGACATAGTATTATATATTATAATATAAATTTAAACTCATACACTTTTTATCATTTTTGTATTCGTGATTTATATAATTAACATTTTAATGAATTAAACAATAAAAATAATATATCGGTGAAATAGTTTGGTAATAGGTTAAAAACAAATTAAAGTTATTAGTAAATTATTTCATAAATTCCAATGATTTGTCAATGGTTTGTATAGCAAAGAGGCTGTGATAACTGATGCCAGTTAATTTGTTCCTAGTTTTACTTATGGTTTCTTTGATTACCTTTTCTAAAACGCGTTAAGCTGATACAGATGTCCCAGGGATCAGTAGATATTTTATTGCTAAATTGTACAGTTTTGGAAAACTGTTTTTGTCCTTTCCCATTAAATCAATGGATCTATACTATAATATTATAGAATTAATTAATTAATAATAATATTATAAGTAAAAGAATCTGGGTAATACTAAAAATTTATTGTTTTCAAAACTCTTTTGCCATTTAAAATGCTTTCATAAGACAGTTGATCTTCCATAAAAGTCATATTTAAAATTTTAATATTAGGGTTTTAAAGCTATGGAAAATTAACCAATATTTGAGACAATTATAAATAATGAAATAAAATTATGAGTATCAATATTTTGATATAATCAATAATATTTGGACATCCCTGTACAGAGAGTGACTCAGTTGAAAAAGTGTGCGACTGAGACTCGAATTCACATGTGCCTACAGTCCCTACATCTCCTTAGTTTTTTGGTGAACTATGCTAATTTTATTATTATGGTTTAGGATCTTTGCAACCGAATTATGTAATCTATAACTATATTTAATATTATTATTATATATATATATATATGTATTTATCATATAATATTATTATTTTTATATCAATACAAATTTTATAAAATATAATAAAACGTCACTTTTTTTAACATGTTTGATCTTGCTAACTACATGTCCTCAAACTTAACAAAGATATAACAAGTTTTAACAATAATATACATTTTACAATCAAAAATGTTTTCAAAAGGTTTTTTTATCATCTATTAGTTAGTGTTTTATTATTATTGATAAATTATCCATTTAAATCTGTAATTTTAAACAATGTTTCATTTATAATTTCTGTTTTGTGTGATGCATATTGTGTTGAATGTGGTGAGGTTGGCTCCCATTATTCTTATTTTTTTATATATTAACAAACATACATCTTCTTATTGTATCATTATCTTATGGTAAGAGCTTCATTAAAGATTTCATCCGTAAAATCCAAATCTTTAAAATTATTTAATAATTGTTTTTTCAATATAATATTATAAGATCATACATTGCTTAAATTTATTCAATGGTTGTTGTGGATTTTATTGGATTTCGAGAGCTGATGAAGTCAATGCATCATTAAAGAGGTCTTACATTTGGCCAGACAAAACTAAATTGAAACTGAAAACTAATATGAGAATATTATCATCTGACCAAGAAAATATAAATTTTGCTGATGCTTTACTCCGTGTCGGTAATGGTCAGTCACTGTCTAGAAATAGTAAAATTGATCGGTCTGAGTTTTGTTTTTTAATGTATAATTTGCTGGACCTAATTGAAAATGTTTCCCCAAATTTATCTAATATTTCGAATAAAACGTCAATTTGGTTTCAAAAAGGGCAATATTGTCACCAACTAACGATCAAGTCAATAAAATAAAAAAAATGATATTGTTAAAATTCAATGCAACAACAAAAGTGTACTATTCCGTTGACACTGTTTTAGATACAGAGGAGGCGATATATTATCCAACTGAATTTTTAAATTCTTTATCTCCTTCAGGGACTCTAACACACAATTTAATTCTAAAGGTAGGTTCTTCTATAATTTTACTTCGTAATTTAAGTCCACCAAAATTATGTAACGGTACAAGATTACAAATAAAATCTTTAAAAAAAATGTCTGCTTGAGTGCATAATCCTTACTTGCTGTGGAGCTGGAGAAATGGTCTTGGTTCCTAGAATACCAATGATACAAACCAATTTGCCATTCCTGTTCAAACGGCTCCAATTTCCCGTGAAATTAAGCTTTGCAATGACTATTAATAAGGCACAAGGTCAAACATTAAACGTCGCAGGCTTAGACTAAACAGTCCAGTGTTTTTCCTAAGGTCAGTTATACGTAGGGGAGTTTACCAATTGCGCTTAAAATGACCTTTTAATATACCAATTGCGCTCTGTCTTTTTTTGGGTCGATAGACCAATTGCGCTCAGTTGTTTTCAGGGTTTATGATATTATTCTACATTACACCTAGTATATAAAAATATTTTTATAAAAATATGTATTTTAAATAAATATTTTCAGTCAATACAAAAGATTATACAATGAACGTCAATATTAATAATAATTGTACAATATAAATCTATACCAAATTATACACATAGATACACGTCAATAATAAATAATTAATATACATAAAAATATAAAAATATAATTACAATTTATGTTTTTCATTTAATGTTTTTTATGTTTTACTGTAATAATAAGAAACTAATTTTAAAAATTCTTTGCAAGTAATTTTTCCGGATTTGTATTTCTCAATAATAGATTCTATGGCCACTTTCTTCACTAAATACGCTCGGTTTGATGTATATTTATCTTCTTCAGTACTGTTTATTGCAATATAAATGTTGGTTTGTGTTTCTATAATAGCTTATAGAAAGACAAAAATATTTGGATGTGAGGAATAAAAATTTGATGAAAATGAAGCATGAAAACTTTCACATGCATTGGTTGTACGTTCAGAGCTTATTGTATTCGATGCCCACAGTATGGGAGGGAATGTAGAGGTTGGTGATATTTAATTTTCAACGATATAGTCAGTGAATTTGGAAACATTTTAATTCATTGGCTGCATTGTCATTAATTCATTTATAGAAACATCCACCACTTCATAGTGTGGAAAAAGCGACAAGCCAAAAATCAAATGTAGCCATTTTCCTAATTCAGAATATGTGTTTTTATACTCAGCTTGTAGTCCACATCTTTGGATATTCCTCTACCAAGCTTGTCTTAAATGAAAACTACAACCTACCAGAGTTATTGAAGGCCAAAATTTTTTAACAGCAAAATGAATTGCTTGTTCAAAATCGGCAAACACTGTTTTTGGACTAAAATAAAAGTTGCATATTTACTAATTAAAACTCTAGTTTGCGGCGTTGGGAAAGTGGCGTCCCTATCGTCCAGTGCCCTTCATTGGGTGCTGCAATAGCCCCACTCTGATCTTAAGTGATCGGAGTGGTCTGGCCCTCCAGGTTGGGGGTTGAGCGTCGGGTTAACAACCCGACCTTGTAAAAAATTTCTGTTCAGGAATCGAACAACAACAAGCCTCGGACTAGATTGGGAAAAAAGACTGGAAATTGGATATCGGAATTAAAATGTGGTACATGGAATATACGAACACTATATAAACCTGGAGCAACTGTGAAATTAGTAGGAGAGATAGAGAGATATAAAATGAAATGCGTGGCACTACAAGAGGTAAGAATGGAAGAGGAGGGTACAACAAAGATATCACAAACAACAATCATAAATGGAAGAAGTGAACGAGGTCACAAACTAGGGACTGGTTTCGCTGTGCATGAGTCGATCATACATATGATTAAAGAGTTCAAAGATGTAAACCCGAGAATCTCAACATTGACCCTGAAGGATAAAAACATTCACGTAGTATTAATCAACGTACATGCACCGACGGAGGATAAAGATGAGGAAATTAAAGAGGAGTTCTATGATACATTAGAGGAGGTAGTTGATAATACGGTGGGAAATATAAAAATTGTACTGGGCGATCTTAATGCAAAAATAGGAAAGGAAAGGATATACCATAACGTGGCAGGAGTGCACAGCCTTCATGAACACTCGAATGATAATGGTTCAAGACTGGCGAATTTTGCATTAGGAAAAGGTTTAATAATCAAGAGTACAATGTTCCTACCCAAAGATATATATAAATATACTTGGGTGTCACCGGATGGGAGGCACAAGAACCAGATAGATCATGTACTGATCAATAATAGGTTCAGAAATAGTATAACTAATGTAAGAACATTAAGAGGAGCCGATGCAGACTCCGACCACCTGCTAGTAGGTATTTGGATAAGAATTAAGTTCAAGAAACAATACAGACATAAATTAAATACAGTAGAAACCGTTTATAATGACATTCAAGGGACTAGTCAAAAGTGGTCATAATAACCGATTGTCATTAGAACCAAAATGACAAAAATTAAATTAAAAACTCTTTTATATACATGCAATGATCAAAATATTTTATTACAATAACATTTTTAATGTGTTATTATATTATATATGTATATAAATCGTAAATTTAATTCATATGGAAAAAAAATAATACAATTTTTTAATATTTAATTATTATGTATTTTAAAATAAAATTTATTGTGAATTAAAAAAATCCGTAATCTTAGTTTGAATTTTATTCGTATAGAAATCATTCTCTATTTTTTTTTCTAGTTTTTCAAAGTTAATTGTTGAACTTACGTTATTTAAAGCCATATAATTTGATAATTTTTTTACTGCATTGAACACTGCATTTATGGAAAAATCTTCATCAGCCGTATCAGCTTCTTCATTATTTTCGTCTTCATTATTTTCGTCTTCCTCAGGCGCGTCGCTGAACGAAGAAATAAGTTCTTGATCATTAAGCGGTTCTGATGTTAGTACATTATTATCGAAGTTAACATAATCATCAATATCTGGAAAACATATTTCTTCTTGATCTTCTTGGACTAACTGTTGTTGTATTGCATTTTTGAAACCCGCATAATGAAAACAGTTTTGAATCGTACTCTCTGTTACTTTTTCCCAAGCTTTGAAAATCAGTAATATGGCATCTAATACGTTGATATTGGTATCAATTTTATTTTCCATATTATTGATCATTTTTAGCACCAAACTTTTTCGAAAATAAGTTTTCATACATTTTATTACACCTTGATAAATTGGTTGAAGAACAGACGTACAGTTACTGGGTAAAAATACAAGTTTAATATTACGCAATACAACTTTAGAATGTGCTGGACAGTTATCAACTAAGAGTAAAATTTTTTCTTTTTTTCTTCCCAACTCTAAATCCCAATTTAATAAAATTTTAGACCATAATTCTGCAGTCATCCAAGCTTTGGAGTTTGATTCATATGTTACCGGTAGACAGTCGATATGTTTGATATTTTTGAAACAATGTGGATTACGAGATTTTCCAATTACAATAAGTTTCATTTTTTTTCCAGTCATACTTGCTGTAACTAGGATGGTCAGACGTTCTTTAGACATTTTACCACCTGAACATCTTTCTCCTTTAAATTTAAATGTTCTGTTTGTAAGCATTTTGAAAAAGAGCCCAGTCTCATCTGCATTATAAATTTGATCATCTGTGTATCCTTCCCGTATTTTTGGCCATACTTTTTCGAGCCAATTTTGTGTTATTTCAGTGTTGACCGAATTGGATTCTCCACTTATTGTCGAAAACACAATATTATGTTTTGATCTAAATCTATGAATCCAACCAGTGGAACAATTAAAATTATGCTTACCAAGGCCTTCAGCTAATTCATTGGCTTTCTGTTGAAGAATTGGTCCATTTATTGGAATGCATAAATTTCTTTGATTTTTAAACCATCGTAGTAATGTCTAAATCCATATGCGTACAATTTCGAAGTTTTTTAACTGATAATTTTTCGTTTTGAAACATTTGTTCTATTTTGTCACGAGCTTTCCATATGTTAGAAATAGTGGAGTGACCTACGCCTAATTCATTTGCTAGATCGGAATTTTTTTCACCATTTTTTAAACGAAAAATTACATTTGCTTTTTCTTCAATTGTAAATTGCTTTCGTTTACTCATATTGCAAAGATTGAACACTCAAACACAATTTACGGTTTATCGCACGACAAATACGATCAAGTACACAAATATTGGAACACTGACGATAAATTTACAAAACAACGATAAATTAGCTTTATCGGTTGTTATAAGACTTTCGATAAAATAAATAAAGTCATTATAGATAAAACCTTTTTCCAATAAAATCAAAAATAACCGTCATAACATCCGTATAGTCATTATACAGACGTCATTATAACCGATACAAATTAGTACATACAATATAGGAGTTTTGCCGGGACCTTCAATCTAAGGTCATTACACCCGGTATGTCACTACAACTGGTGTCATTATAAACGGTTTCTACTGTTCTATAGATAGATACGATATTGAGAAATTAGAGGAAGTTAATATACAGAAAGATTTTAGCAGAAGAATCTGTGAAACTCTTAAATTACAACATATAACAAATACAAACGATGTGAATGATGTGTGGATCAAAATTAGAAATGCTGTGCAGCAAACTGCAAAAATAACAATAGGAATAAAGAAAAAGAGGAAGAAACCCTGGTTTAACAAAATATGTGAAGACGCAGTACAGAGGAGAAAGATAGCCCGAGAGGAATGGCTGAAAGACACTTACAATGAAGAGAGGACTGCAGATTTCAGTAGACGAAGGAAAGAAGCTCACAACATAATAAGATGCGAAAAAAGGAAATATATCCAAAATATTATGAAAGATGCAGAACAGGACTTTAGACTAAATAGAACCCGGGATATGTTTAAGAGGGTAAAGGACATAAAAGAAGATTTTAAAAAGAAAGAACTTTTTCTCAAGGATGATGATGGAATGCTGATAACGGCAGAAAAAGAAATAGCTGAAAAATGGAGAGAGTATTTCTACAAACTATTAAATTGTGAAGAACCAACCGAGAAGTTCCCCTTTAATATTGAGAACATAAATACACAAGAATGTACATATCCTACATTGCAGGAAATAAAAGGACAAGTGCATAGATTAAAAAACCACAAATCCCCAGGGGAGGATTGTGTTCAAGCGGAACTCTTAAAAAAGGGAGGTGAAGATGTTATACAGTGGATTTGGCAAGTGATTACTATTGTTTGGACAGCAGAGAAACTCCCAGAGGATTGGAAGGTGGCGGTAGTATGCCCAATTCACAAAAAAGGAGACAATCTAGATTGCAACAACTACCGCGGAGTATCCTTGCTCAATGTAGCGTATAAAATATTCTCGAATTGTGTTTTAGACAGAATAAAAGAAAAAGCAGATCAAATAATAGGACACTATCAAGGAGGGTTTAGAGCTGACAGGTCCACGACGGACCAGATGTTCATAATTAGACAATTATAACAAAAATCTTGGGAGTTTAATAAAGAGGTTCATACACTTTTCGTGGACTTCAAGAAAGCGTATGATAGTATTCATAGAGAGAGTTTACTGAATATTATGAAAGAATTTCATTTTCCACAAAAGCTAGTCAATTTAGTATCAATAAGTGTTATGGAGACCTTGATAAGGGCTCAGGTAGGAAATTCAATAACTGAACCGGCTGCAGTGAACTCGGGGCTAAGACAGGGCTATTCACTATCGCCGATTCTGTTCAATGTAGTATTGGAAAAGGTAATTAGAGAAATGAAAATTGGGCCTAACGAGGGTATTAGACTACAAGACACGTCGATAGGCATACTTGCTTATGCTGATGATATAGTATTGATGGAAGAGTTTTAGGATAAGTTGAAGAGTTTATTCAGTAGGTTGCATAATGCAGCGTCAAAAGTAGGACTATGTGTAAATGAAGGAAAAACGGAATATATGTTTTTGAGTAGAAGGGAACTACCTTTCTGTCAATTCATAAGAGTGGATAACTACGAATTTAAAAGGGTAGAATAGTTCAAATATCTAGGTTCTATTTTGACCGAAAAAAATAATGTAGCAAACGAGGTAGCAGCAAGAATTCAAGCTGGGAATAGATGCTATTATGAACTGACTAAGGTACTAAGCTCACGAACAGTATCGCGAAGAATGAAGAAACGATTATATACGTCCTTAATACGACCGGTTGTATTGTATGGATCGGAAACATGGCCAATTAGAAAAATGGACGGGCATAGGCTCATGGTCTTTGAAAGAAAAGTTTTGCGGAAAATATATGGCCCGGTCAAAGACGAAATAACTGGGGAGTGGAGACGAAGAAAGAACATAGAGCTGGAAATACTGTATGGTAGCGCGGACATATTAGAGGTCATCAGAAGCAGAAGACTACGGTGGGCTGGCCACGCTTGGAGGAGCCAAAATCCACTTTTACATTCAGTGATTGAACAAAACCCTGTAGGTAAAAGGCCTCTGGGAAGACCAAGAATGCGATGGGAAGATGTTGTAAAGAAGGACGTTGAGCAGTTGGGAGGTTGTTCCAATTGGAGAAATCTAGCATTGGATAGAGAAGGATGGAAGCTTGGTTGTGAGACGGGATGGTTTTAAAGGCCCAATAAACCCCCCCAAAAAAAACTCTAGTTACTAGATAACTTATTTGGCAGCAAAGAAAATACTAATGGTATATAGTGACCGTTTTTTAAGCCATGTATCGTGAATAGCTGATAAAAATATTTGGAACAAAATTCTAAAGTTCCTGTTCACGCTCACAAGCTGTTAGCTATGATCAGCTGTAGATATCATTATTATTCGGCTGTTATTATGTAAATTTATTTAAGTATTTTTGGTAACTATATTTATTATCTATGGAGCAGTCATTGTATCAATGCCACCAAATTTACAATGATTTCTTGTTCTTATATAATTGTGTGCACGGCACTGAATATCGTTTCTAAGTTCATATTATCATTTTGTATTCGGTATGGTCTGTTGTACCATTTTTCTCCTCTTTCTTTTTCTTTCGGTGCTCTCGAAGCAACAAGTTGTGTTCTTCTTATTGGTCAGGCTAGTGATGTTATTCGGTCAATTCACACCACAGGTGAAAATTACTTACAAGCATACAATACATTAATGAACCGGTATGACAATAAAAGTGTAATCATTCAATCTCACAGCAGATCACTACTCGACACACCTAAAGTCCTCATAGCATCGGCAACAAATCTAGAAAGGTTACAACATCACGTCATGTCCAATGTTAATGCGCTCAGAGCATTAGGACAACCCATAGGGTCTTGGGACGCATGGTTGGTCACACTTATTTGCAGTCGCTTAGATAGTGCCACAGTGGGGGAGTGGCAACTCCAATATAATAAAAAAGAACTACCATCATTTTGTGAAGTTGAGGCATTTTTACTTAATCGCATTGCAGCATATCAGGCAAGAGAGATGAATGTTGCATCTACCATAGAAAAGAAAACTGTTGTAAAAGCGCATTATCATAATTTGCAGGAAAAAAGGTCTTCCTCGTAGGACCAGCTCAAAAATCAAGTTTTACGATTAAATGGGCTTTGTGCAATGAAAGCCAAAGATTGTACCTGTGTAAACAATTTGATAAGTTATCGGTTTATGAACGCCGTGATGTTGTTATGAAAAATCATTTATGTTTCAAATGTCTAAATGGAAACCATAAAGCAAGGTTTTGTAAATTTTCAAATTGTTCAAAGTGCGGAAAAAGACACAACATTAAATTGCATTTAGAAGAGAGTGATGGATCCACCACGTCTGACCAAGACAATGTAGCCGGTACAACTGAGCAGCCACTGTGTGATGGTGAAGGGTTAGCTCAAGCAATGCACGAGTTTGGTGATTCAGTGATGTTGGCCACTGCTATTGTACTCATTAATGATGTATCAGGTACACCCAAGCGTTGCAGAGCATTACTGGATTCCGGGTCACAGATCAATTTCATCACCGACGCTTGTGCTCAATCTCTTAAACTGCCCAGAACTAACTGTCATCTACCAATTGTTGGAATTAATTTAAAGCGTTCAATGGCTCATAAATTGAAACCGGTTGTGATGTCTTCGCGGTTTGAAAATTTTAGCACTCAAATAGATTTACATGTACTTCCGTCTATTTCAAATACATTACCGGCACGGCCCTTGAAACTTGATCATTTTAAAATACCAGGAGATATACAGCTATTACTTGGTGCAGAGGTGTTTTATACTCTTTTGAGCGGTGAAAAAATTGAAATTGATAATAATTTAATGTTTCATAACACTGTGCTCGGGTGGGTTCTGACTGGCAAGGTGTCTAATAGTCAATTTCATCATATCAAAACATGTATGCATGCCTGCTTCAGTGAAAGAAGAGTTGAACCAGCATTATCTTTATTTATCACTAAATCAAATAGCCGACGGGCTGATGACCAGAAGGTGGAAAAACATTTCACTGACACTCATTACAGGGATGATTCTGGCAGATTTGTTGTGCGGCTTCCAATAAATGGTGATATTGGCATATTTGGTGATTCGAGTTATATGGCTCAACGTCGGTTTCTCAACCTCTAGAGGCGACTGTCCAGAGACAAAGGGCTTGGTATTGCATACCATAAATTCATGTCTGAATATCTAATTATGAATCATATGGAATTAGTAACGGCTCCAAATCCTAATAAATGTGCCTATTATTTTCCACATCATGCGGTAATGAAAGAATCTAGTATCACAACCAAATTAAGAGTTGTTTTTGACGGATCCGCTCCATCCAGTTCTGGATTATCTCTTAATGATATTTTATTTCGAGGTCCCAAGGTTCAGCCAGATTTGCTAGACATTCTATTGGGGTTCAGAATGCATTCTATAGTCATAACAGCTGACATAGCTAAGATGTATAGGCAAGTTCTTATACACCCTGATGATCGAGCGCTGCAAAGAATATGGTACAGAGAAACACCGGAACAGTCGTTAAAAGAATTTTAATTACGCACAGTCACTTACGGTACAAAGGCCGCATCTTTTCTTTCTACACGGTGTCTATTGCAACTGGCTAATGAAGTTGAAGATCCAAGTCTCAAACGTGTCATATCTAGCGATTTTTACGTTGATGATTTACTAACCGGTTGTAGCTCTGAAGATGCATGTTACTCACTTTATAAGAATGTCAATAAAGTCCTAGAAGCAGCTGGATTTCCGCTGCGGAAGTGGTGTTCCAACTCTAGCTCATTAATGTCTCGCATTCCCAAGGATACGGATAATGCAACATATCGGTTGTCCTTAACACATCAAGACACGGCCAATACACTCGGATTATCTTGGCAGCCCAGCACAGATACTTTTCATTTTTCCCTTGGTACTTGGAACCCGCCAGCACACATGACAAAACGCTCTCTTTTGTCCGATATCAATCGTATCTTTGATCCCATTGGACTCATTACTCCTATATTAATTAAAGGAAAGATCTTCTTGCAGCAATTATGGTTACTAAAATTGAGCTGGGATTCAATACTACCAGCAGACCTACAAGCACGTTGGATCAATTTTTATTCTAGTCTTGAGTCATTGGATAAGTTGTCAATTTCTCGGAAGGTCACAATCGATGGCGAATCTACTATTACCTAACATGGCTTTTGTGATGCTTCACAAGCAGCGTATGGCGCTTGTGTCTATATTCGAAACCAATCCCCTGATGGTTCTACCACTGTAAATTTATTGATGTCGAAATCCAGGGTGGCTCCCATGCGCACAACTACCATTCCACGACTTTAGCTGTGTGGTGCCCTTCTTTTATCAGAGCTCATCGTTGAAGTTCAAGAAGAACTGTCAACCATAAATGTTAAGTTTGGTTCGTCGGACATAGTATTGTGGACTGATTCCTCAGTGGTACTTGGATGGATTCAATCAGTGGTCCAACTGAAGTCGTTTGTAGCCAACCGGATAACACAAATTTTGGAGAATACCGAAGCTAAAATGTGGCGCCATGTTCCTACTTCTAGTAATCCAGCGGATTTGATAACTAGAGGAACCAACGCAGACACATTAGCTCTTCCCAATCACATCTGGTGGTATGGGCCAAGTTGGATAGCTAATACAGAGGCTTCATGGCCGGCTGAAATACATCCTAAAGAAGACCTTCCAGAGGTACGTCCCATTAAGTTAGCTCTTTTGACCACACATGGTGATGCAAATTGGATCATTGACCGTTGTTCCAACTGGCGGAAGTTAATGCACGTAACTGGATATGTGTTACGATTTGTATATAACTGTAAAATACCTAAGCTTAAAAAAGATGATCGTCGGTTTGGCTCTTTAAGTGTTGCTGAACTTGATGCAAGCCAGTTGTTTTGGTTACTTCGGTCTCAGATAGAAGATTTTAACTCTGAAATGAGCTCACTGATACGTGGAAATGATGTTGATCGTCGAAGTTGTTTAAAATCTCTGAATCCGTTTCTTGATGTTGATAAGGTAATACGAGTGGGAGGCAAATTGGCTTATGCTCCAATACCTGAAAATCAAAAGTGTCCAATTGTTCTGTCTTCAAAGAATCCAATTGTCAAAATGTTATTTCAATATGGACATATTCGATTGCTTCACATCGGTCCTCAAGGACTCTTGGCTCACATCCATAGGACATATTGGCCTATCAGAGGCAGAAGCTTAGCTCGTCAAACTGTCCATAAATGCACAATCTGTTTTCGATCCAAACCACTAATGCTCCAACCTGTCATGGCTCCCTTGCCTTCAGTTCGTGTTACTAGATGTCGGGCATTCGAAAAGGCTGGTGTTGATCTGTGCGGTCCTATCAATATTCGTAGCGGTTTGAGAAAGGTCACGCCATTGAAGCATTACATTGCAGTTTTTGTATGTATGGTTACGCGTGCAATTCATTTGGAGCTTGTTCGAGATTTATCTTCGGATGCGTTTATTTCTGTATTATTCCTGTTTATTGCCCGCCGAGGTTAATGCGTAAAATTATATAGTGACAATGGCACTAACTTCATAGGCGCTAAAAAGATACTCTCATCGTGGGCATCTGATATGTCTAAAGAAAGTAAATTCAATGATCAACTGTCATAATTGGGCATTGAATGGCAATTTATTCCTCCGTCAGCCCCGCATTTTGGCGGACTATGGGAGTCTGCGGTAAAATCGGCAAAGCAGCATCTTGTTAAATCTAGTAACGGTGCTCTTTTAACTTATGAGGAAACTAGTACATTGTTGTGTAGAATTGAAGCGGTCCTCAATTCTAGGCCTCTCACTGCAATCTCATCTGATCCATCTGACTTTAACGTTTTGACACCAGGGCATTTCCTGATTGGAGGTCCATTGACTTAACCACCTGAACCCAATGTGTTGGATATTCCTGAAAATCGGCTACGTAAATTTCAATTAATACAAGCTCGGTTACAACATTTTTGGAAAAGAAGGTCTTCAGAATATCTAAACACAGTTACAACGCTGAGATCGTTGGATTTCCAATAAGTCTGCAAATATATCAGTCGGTGATTTAGCAATATTGCCGCTACACTCTTAGCACACCCTCATCTGGGCGCACGTCTTGGACTTTTTACCGACGCATCTAGTCAATCTATCGGTGTATGTCTGCAGCAACTAGTCAATGACAACGGCAACCAATAGCTTTTTTTCGAAGAAGATGTCGGTAAAACAAGGTTCGTGGCCCGTTTATTACCGTGAATTGCTCGCCATCTATGAATCGGTGAAGTATTTCAGGCATATAGTCGAAGCAAACCATGTACCATTTACACCGATCATAAGCCACTCATATATGCTTTCACTCAACGTAAAGAAAAGATCCCTCCTACGCAACTCCACCAATTGACATTCATCTCCAAATTCACTGACATTCAACACGTAAAAGGTGAACAAAACATCGTCGCTGATACATGTCACGCATTGAAGCTATGTCTCTCCCGCTAGACTACCAAGCTCTTGCTGTATCTCAGGACACGGATGATGAACTGAAACACTTTATTGACAAAAGTTCATCTCTTCATTTAGAAAAGGTACTAGTGCCCGGATCTTCGGATTAAATTTATTGCGACACGTCAACGGGACGCCCACGACCACTTTTGCCTCAACGATTCTGGCGTCACGCATTTGATCAGTTACTCAACCTTAGTCACCCCGGTGCACGCGCAACAGCTCGCTTAGTTTCAGAACGATTCGTGTGGCCAGCAATGAAAAGGGATTGCTGCTCTGGGGCACGTGCCTGCGTCCCCTGCCAGCGATCGAAAATAAGCCAACACGTCTCAGCGCCACTGGGAAACTTTGAAACACCTTCACGCCGATTCAAACATGTTCATGTCGATATCATAGGACCACTACCGCCATTTCAGTCCTTTAGGTACCGCCTGACGGTAATCGACAGTTGGTTGGAGGTGTACCCACTCGAACAGATAACGGCAGATGATGTCACGAAGGGTTTCCTATATTACTGGATTTCACACTTCGGGGTACCTTAGTACGTTACAACTGAAAGTGGTACTCAGTTTGTTTCAGCCACTTTGAAAAATTTAGCAAAACGTTTTGGTTTTACACTCCACCCCACTACCAATTGGCATCCTGCTGCGAACGGATTCATCGAACGAATGCATAGGCAACTAAAGGCAGCCATCATGACCCATGCAAAGGATTCGTGGACAGAGTCACTGCCCATCGAGCTTCTCGGAATGCGTTCTTCACTTAAGAAAGACTTAAAGGCCACGTCTGCAGAACTAGTTTATGGTGAGCCCCTTAATCATCCTGGCGATTACTTTGCAGATAATCAAGAAAATAGCAGTATGAACGACCCTACTAGCTTACTCGACTGTCTTCGTATTTTAATGAATAAAATTGGTCCAGTACCTGCATCTCGCCACTCAAATTCACGATCATTTGTTTTTGTGGACTTAAAGGACTGAGCACACGTATTTCTCAGAGAGGGTGTCTGAGCAGCACTTCAACCACCATATCAAGGCCCCTCCAAAGTACTTGCTCGTAATGACAAGACTTTCACAGTTACATTAAACTATACATGGAAATTCACCTAAATTTTGTTCGTTTTTCATTGCAAAGTGTTTACATGAATGTGGTTCTAGATTTGTTTATATTCAACATATTCCATATACTTTTTGTCCATAAGAAAGCTTTATACGTACTCAAAAAGTGGTGTAAAGAAGAAAATTCTAAATTGATTTGGCAAAGAGTTATACAGTCTACTATAAATGGAAATTCACCTTAATTTTGTCGGTTTTTCAATGCAAAGTGTTCATATGAATGTAGATCTAAACTCGTCTCTATTTAACATATTGCATATTACTTTTGTCCAAGAGAAAACTTTAAATGTACTCTAAAGAATGTTATAAAGGAGAAAATTCTATATTAAATTGGCAAAAAGTTACAGTCCACTATACATGCAAATTCACATAAATTTTGTTGTTTTGGAGTTAGCTACCAAAAGGAAGACGAGTAGAGTTTTGGGAACTTAACTGCACATTAAAAACAGAGAATAAAAAATATCGAAAATGGGACAATTAGAGTGAGATAATTATTTTAGTAGAAATTTGCCTGCAATCCAGTGACACGTGATGTAATAAGAGGGCACGAAGATTCCTCTTTGTTGCTGGGAGAGGGGATGATCGAACAAAACACATGCTGCTTCTCAGGCAAGAGCTTTGGGCTTTGTTTAGTCTATTCCAATTGGAGAAAGGTGCAGAATCAAAGAGGAATTATCTGTAGTCAAGTTTAGATCGCATAATGGATTTGTAAATTAAAATAATGGTCGAGGAGTGAGAACCCCACCCTGTGCCATTAATCGCCCTAAGAAAGTAAGCTGAACGAGAGCCATATGAGATGAGTGAAGTAATGTGAGGTAGCCAACGGAATTTAGAGTCAAGAGTTATACCTAGGTAAGTAGTATTGTCGTCAAATGAATAATATTATTATCGAGGTACACCGTACACGTTAAGTGGATTATGGTATCTGCGTCTAGTAAATATTATTGATTTACATTTTTCATATTCAATTTAAAAAAATAAATCGTTGAAAATATATTTGAGTATATATGAGATCTATATATATATTTGATATATGTGAGGAAACAGAGAGAATATAATATCACAAAAAGTGGGCGGTATATGAAGGGAGAAAAGTTTAGAAACTAAGGATGGAATGTTAACGGAATTATAAGCACCACGAATATCTACAAACGTGGAGACAAAAAATTCCTTACAATTAAAGGAGTGATAAATATTACCAATAAAAGAAGAAAGGCATTCCATAGTTCCAATGCCTTTCCTAAATGCAAAAAGATTAGGTAATAATATGGAATTATATTCAAGCCTCCAATCAAGCAGATTTTTGAGAATAAGTTCAAAAGATTTACATAGCGCTGAGGAAAAAGCGATAGGATGAAATGCCTTATTGGAATTAGGTTAGGGAGTAGGAATGACTTTGTATGATTTCCAAGTAGATAGAATATGATTGGAAGACGAGATATAATTTAGCACGTTAAGTAAAAAGTCAAAAGCAAAATTAGGTAAATGTTTCAACATAGACGGAGAAATGTTATCAAGGCCTGAGGCTATTGGACGCCATGTGGAAATGGCGTGGTAATTCAGATAAGGTGAATTGATTGGTAAGAATATGATGGAAAGGAAATTGTGGGTAGAAGGAGGGGTAAACTACAGATGAAGTAGGAACGGAACAGGTAGCAACATTAGAGCAAAAATCGTGGAACTGGTCATCGTTGGTAGGCCGGTGAGATAGGGAGATGCAGTTTTTAAAACTTTTAGCTGTAGACCAGAGAATATGCTTTGAATTTGGAGTGTTTAAACTCGAACAAAATTTTTTCCAAACAACTCTTTTAGCATCTTTTTAAAATATGAGAAGTGGCTGCACAGCAATTTTGATAATTAATAAAATCAATCAATCCCAAGCGATGAAATGTCTTAAAGATTTAGATTTTCTAAGGAGGAGAGGAAGAAAAAATTTAGGATTAGTATTTTTAACAGGTATACATTGTTAAGCAGCACTATCAACGATCTTCGTGAAGATAGAATATGATTCAGTTAGACGGAGATCAGTGGGTACACATGTGATCAAGTATTGTATAAGACGGGAATAAGAAGCCTTATTTTTATAATAATATGATCAAGGTTAGGTCAATAAATTGTATCAAAGAAGATTCTTGTTTTTCAACCAGTCTAATTCATCACCAGTTTGAAAATGTACTTTTCTTTTTGTCTTGACAGGGTTAAGGTTATTGTCACTAGTTTCAGTTTCTAATCCTATTATTTTATTATTTTATTTATAATATTATAATTAATATTAAAACAATAAATATTATAGCTTATAAAATATATTTTTTTTTTTGCAAATAAGTAATATACAATCTGTACCAAATGACACAATAAGCATATAGGCTCAGAGTAAAAATATGACATGATAAAATTGAAGAAAGAAGCCACCCATTGGCGACACTTTCACAGGAGAGTTTACAAGTTAGTTAATTAAAAGATCTCGGCACCACTTACGCTTTAGGCGCCTTGGGGGATTTCCGGGTATGGTAAAAGACGCAAGGTTCTTGATTAGAGGATTATTGTGATAGTTTGTTCTGGCGTGAAATCGTTTGTAGTAGGCCTTGGCTTCTTCGTTAAGCGTTTTTAGATTTAGATCTGTGTGGAGTGAGAGATTTGATACATAAGGAGGGGCATTCGAGAGTTTCCTTATGGCGATATTTTGGAACGTTTGAATTTTATTTAGGTTCGACTTTTTTTGCGTTTCCCCATAGCTGAATCCCGTAGAGCCAGATAGGTTTGAGCAGGGATTTATAGATGAGCAGTTTGACATTTAGAGAGGAGTGTTTATTATTATGAAGCAGAGTTTTTAGCATTCTTAGTCGGTTATTTAAAGTCAGCCTTTTGGATTTGATGTGAGAGGCCCAGGTTAGTCTTTGATCGAATGTGAGGCAGAGGTACTTGACTTTTGATGAAGAGGTGATTGGGATTCCGCATAAGGTGACGCTGGGGCAGGGGGCAAGTCGGAGAGTAAAGGTTGTATGTATCGATTTGTTTGGATTAACTTTAAAGCGCCGATTTGTAAACCAGTTTTCCATCGAGTATATGTGGTTTTGTAAATTTACAGAGGCAATGAGAGGGTCAGCATTGATTGAAATTAAAACCTTATCATCCGCGTAATCGGCCACAGATGTGAAGGGTGAGTTGGGCTGGTCTGACGCGTAAATGTTGAAATGTTGTAGAGAATAGGAGAGAGAATGCCTCCTTGAGGCATACCAGCGTTTATGGCAGCTATGTCAGAGAGGGCAGAACCGGAACGAATTTGAAAATGTCTATTTGAGAGGTAAGATTTGATGATTAGGTAGTAGGTTGGAGGGAGAAAGCTTTTAAGTTTAAATAATAAGCCATCGTGCCAGACCCGATCGAAAGCCTGAGAAATGTCCAGAAATGCACATGTGCAGTATAACTTTTTTTCCAAATTGTAGGATATTGCATCAACCAGTCTGTGAAGTTGATGTGTAGTCGAGTGTAAGGTGCGAAAACCGAATTGGGTGTCAGGAAGTATATGTTTTTCGGTAATTATAGGAGAAATGCGTTTAAGGATTAACCTTTCTAAAATTTTGGCAAAAAGAGGCAGGAGGCTCATTGGTCTGAAGGAAGTTATTAGATCTGGAGGTTTATTAGGTTTAGGGAACATTATAATTGTAGAAAATTTCCAGACTAGAGGAAAATAGGAGAGTCTTAGTGTTGCGTTGAAAATGTGAGTTAAGTGGATAATGGCTCTTTTTGGAAGGCATCTAGTGACTTCAGCAGTTATCAGGTCGTAGCCAGGAGATTTTTTCAGTGAATGGTGCAGTAGAGAATATTTTACATCGTTTGGTGTGAAGGGTTTGACTGGTAGAGTAAGTGGAAGAGGGGAATCAAGAAAGGTTTCTACCGTATTCATATTATTAGCATTAAATACGTCTGGATGAGGCTGAAATGTGGCCGAAAGATGCGCTTTAAACAGTTCGGCTTTTTCTGAGTCAGAGGAAGCCAGAGATCCATCGGGTTTTTTTATTGGAAGATTCTGAGTTTTGTAATTAAGTGCTTGTTTTGTGGACCTCCAGAGAGAGCCGTCTTTGGGTGAGAGATTGATGAGATGACTTTCGAAATCCTTAGTTTTAATTTTTATTAGCTTTTTTTTGAGAGAGTTAGCTAGATGATTGTAGGCGTGTTTATGTGAGGGGAGGCGCGTGCGTTGATATAACGCTCTGGCCTTGCGTTTTTTGACTATTTTCGTTCGAATGATCTCTGGAAGAGGTTTATGTATCAGTAGATTTGTATCATAGTTTGTTGCTGACCAGGCAGCTGACTGTATAATGGTAGTTAGACTATTTACGGCTGAATCAATATCAGCTGGGGTTTTTAGTTTGGTATTTAATTTAATATCTTCGTTTACGAAGTCATGAAATTTTTTGTGGTCTGTAGTATAATTGAAAAGCTTTGGGGGGCCTTGCCAGAGTGGGGGAGTGGTATTGAGGGTTAGCATTACAGACGAGTGGTCAGAGTTTAAATTTAAGAAATTTGTAGTGGTGTAGTGAAGACAATTCGGAATTTTTGAAACAAAGATGTCCAGTATGTCTGGATTTTTCTTAGTGGAGGTTGGCCAGTATGTTGGTCCGGGAGGGGCGAGAACTTTGAAATGTTTGTAAGTAGAAAAAATGTAAAGGACTAAACCCCTAGGATTATTAGTGCGGCATCCCCATGACTGGTGCTTGGCGTTGAAATCGCCGCCTATGATAAAATTGTTTTTAAATGTGTCAAAGTATTCAGAAAATTTTGAGTTTGTAATATTGTGTTTTGGAGGTGAGTATAATGCTGCAATATGGATTGGAATATTGTTTAGGTTAAGTAAAATGGCA